TACCGGATTCAGTTACCATTTTTCATTGAGCTATCGGTTAATTATGATAACAAAGAGACGTTAGAAAGTAACCAGGCCAGGGTTTGGACCGTTCCCTTACAGAAAACCATTTGAAAATGGCAATGGCGTATATATAAAATAAAAAAACATGGAACATTTACCCTACCGTGTGGGAGACCCAACGAAGGCGTGGACGATGGCTACCGTATCACTTTCACTCTAGTTAAGGCAGCAGGAGAGTGTGCGCCATATGGCTCAATGCCGTCCTTTGTCCAGTGATTTAACGAGGGTGAAAAGCGTGTGAGATTTATGTTTATGGACGTAAAGTGCGAAATATCAACCACGTGACGTTGTTAGCGACGAGTGTGTAGAGAATGCGTAAAATACGGCATTGCATATATTTTTATAAAAGAATTATTTTACGCATATCTTTAAGAACAGGGGATTTCAGAGAGTTACCTTTAATTATAATTTCAACTGTAATACTTTAATTGAAATTGTGACAGTACGAAGATAGTGTTTTAAGCCAAGTACAGTATAGAGAAATGGAGATGAGTGTAGGATTAGTGGCGCGATCTTGTAGTCTTGTTAGTGAATAAGGCCGACATGTCCCTTAGACACCACTGTTAATTAATAGCCCATACAGCTAATGGCAACTAAGGGACCTACAGTTTATAGTGGAATTTGAACCACATTTTTGCCTTGGTATATAAGGAATTGGTCTAATAAACAGGATAGTACTGCGGATAGTCGTAGTACTCACTAGTGCGGACGTTAATCCACACCAGGGAGTATCGCATCCACAGATCATGGCTATAAGCTAGAAAATCCCTTGAAGTTCAGATTCTGATATTTATTAACTAACAAAGAGAAGGATTCTCAAATCCCAACTATATTCAAAGAAGAATCAACATGGACAGTAACTTTGCTATTGAAAACGAAGGTTAAAAGGTTACTTTAAAGAAATTATTTCATTCTTTTTAGAGCGTTTGAAGTCGGTTGTACTTTTTTACAAAAATAAATTATCTAATATTTAACTTTGTCGCACAGTGATCATTTTTGATGAAAGTTTGCTTGTATACCATTTTACATGTGTAAGTTGTATAAGTTTAATATGCCGGCCAGTCTCGTAAATAATTTCTGTATACCACCTTTTCACAAGTTATAAAAGTATTTTTCTACTCTCAACTATCTATGCTAGTTTGGCTAAAACTCTATAGCTTCTCTTATCTCTTGGATCCAATTCCATTTTTGTAATTTCGTACCCCGGGACTCCACAAGTCCAAGTCCAAGTGTGTTTGAACGCTGGGGCTGTTGACACATTAAACCAACGCATTCAACACCAGAGTTTTTTAAAAGTGATCTGAAGTAGGCCTATGCGCAACGTGAATATGTCCGAAAGTTATGAGAAAATCCTATCTCTCTGTACCCTCTCTACTACAGATTTGTCGTCCTTAAGGATCAGCTGTAGCCAATTTTAATCCAGTTCATGTAAAGGTGTTGTTTTTGTTATTACTGTAATTTATTTCTTATTATTTCAAAAGCAGTTTGCAACAACTATCTAATTTGAACAATAGCTCTTACTCTAGTTTTAGAAACCAAACAGCAAAGCATAAATCATTAAATCAACCCTAAAATAAGATAAACGGAATTACGTTGACACTAGCGCTCACGTCACTAACGTAAACCACGTATGAAAAACAAGTTTTAAAGTTTCAAATGGGATGAGGGGTCTACTTGTGTTGCTCTATGCTGCCATCCTCTCCTGCTCGCCCAACTACAGCCCTCATACTGAACAGACCAATAACACCAACCCAAAATTGTTGAATAGATGCAATACTCCCTAGGAATCATAAGGAAGATTTACTAAACAGTACATCATGTTATCGTAAATTGCATAGCAGGTTACACACAGGAAGTATTGGTTTAAGGCACTCCTAGCCGCATATCCTCGCAAGGTCTTTGACACAAGGGCATTGCCTAACTGGTCAGCAAGGTTCTATATGATATAATTATTGTCTCGGACCCATGGCGACCTTGGCTTTGACTGGACTTGAACATAATTGGGTCAAGTTTATTTTGATTTGACTGCAAGCCCAACCAGGAATTGTTGGTTTACTAGGTCGTTGTTTGGCCTTACAGGAACTTTCAGTAGGCATTGAGGAACTTTCAGTTAGAGCAGGACGGTCTTTCAATAAGCAGTGGATCTTTCAAGAAACTATTAAATTTTAGGAATTTTTGGCAATTATTGTGGAAATTCTAGCAATGGGAGAACTCTTAGTAAGCATTAGAGTATCTTTCAGTAAGTCGTATTGGATGTAAAAAAAACTGTTAAAAATAGTGTTGTGTATTTTATGGAGTCAAACTACATAAGCTAATTAACTAGGATAGTATTTATAATAAATTAATTATGTATAACTCATGAAAAACTTGTAAGCATAGTTGAGATAACTCCTTTAAGACCCATTCATTTGAAATTATCCAAAGTAGATTTGTAGTACACAAGGTTATGATATGTGGATTTGTTCAACATTAAATAATTAAGTAGGTATACAACCGTAAGAAAACAATGTGAGAAAAGTTCTTCATTTATTTTCCTTTATCCGTTTTAACACGTTGTAACAAAGTAGAATATTTTTCTTGTAGGGAATTAAATCTAATTTCAGTAAGAAGTATTTCAATGCAAATTGTTCATTTTCTTGCTCAAGTTTTTAATTTGTTTCCAACATTCAGTAGCAGTTTGAATTTCAAAATAGTCTTTTGAGAAGATCTGCAAATCTGTAGACATCACTGTCTTAAAATTAGATTTTTTTTTCAGTATAAAATTTGTTATTTTTTTTGTAACTCTATTATGTTTTAATAGCTTAAACCGTCGTATATGTGACAATATCACGATAAAATATATATTTTAACATTCTAAATCTTTTTGTTGCAATTTTTCAATGACGTCATCTCAGTAATGACGTTATAAACGCAGCTGAAAACTATTAAGAATAAAGTACTCTTTGTAATCCCACAAGGTAGGGTCATTTAACCGCATTTGTCTTGGCAATTAACCCAATCAAAGTACTGTGTACGATAGTAAAGGGAAAGTGTAAGCACGCCGTACTTTGTTTTGTTACGCCATTCTGTCTGGTGAACTGTCATGTGTAAATAGCAGACGACGGAAGTGTTGCTAGTAAACAAACAGCTGTTAGTCATTGTTGTGGGGTTAACGATATCAAATCACTACTCAGATTGAGAAGTAGTTCTAGGTAATGTTTGTCGTCTTTTGGAATGAATAACATTTATTTTGCTTGGATTTTAAGTTGGAGGTAATCCGTTGAGGTTTTCATTTTTGTGTTTAAGGCTGATAATTTGTGTTTTTCTAGAAGTCTCTGTGTGCTATTTTGACAAACATAACACAAAGCTATAAACTAAATCAATTTGTAAAGTTATAACTTTGAAAATTTAGGTCGGTGGTCTAATTGAAATAGTTTTTACTGCTCGATGAGTCTGTCTATGATGTATGTTATTTCCGATAATGTTTGGACCGTTCTGTTCAAATAAATGTTAAAAGCCACTGCCATAGATGGACAGAAAAATATAAAATGGAAATGTAGACAAAACCAACCCAACGTATTATAACTTTGAACAACTTTATGTTTGCGGTCTCTTAGTAGGGATTCAATGATAACAACAGTTTCTGGAGACACAAGTCTCCATCATCAGGTTTAATTCAAGACGATAATTTTGTGTACACATTCCGTACTATTTGTCACTTTTAAATTGCAAACAAAAATAAACACATTAACACAGAAACATTTTATAGATGCATATTTTTAATGTGCAATTTATGTGTATTCGTAAAACGTTAATGAATTGTAAAATTGCGGTTTTTGCCATTTTCTGTTATCCTATGATTATAGAAGTTCACAATTCCATAAAGAATTTGTTGTACATGACAAAAGTAGGATAATTTTCCATTATTCGTATGATTATAGTACGATTCCGTAATTAAGTTATTACATCTGACAAAAATAACAATTACGTTTTTTTCTGTCATTCTTTATTGCTGCAATCATAGTTCAATTCTATTATGAAGTTGTTACACTACTTGGCTATAACAGATTCCTGATTGTCCATATGAGACAGAATTGATCAATTATCAAATGTAAATCTAGGGAATTGCTGTTATGAAACAAATTACAGTTAGATATGTTTCATAGTTTGTTGCGTGTATGAACTACTTTTAACTATTATGTACCTAAAAAAGATATAATATAAGGGATTACAGAATTATTCAAGATCTTGGCTGTAGAATATTAGGTTGAATGAAAAAAACCAATGAACTCATCCTTAACTTAAATTAATTGTAATATTGTAATTTGATGAAATTTCAAAAAAATATTGTAATAAATTACTTTGATGATAAAAGCTTTCATAGCCTCCTACAGAGTAAATAAACCTTATTAATCTGAAAATAGAATTTCCATAAAATTGTTATGCAATTATTTTTCAATGACATTTATCCATTTAAAATTAATTTATCTATCAAAGTACAGCTTAGTCAACATTTGTACCAAAGTTAACGCTTTCATTTGATCATCGTGGGTTTAATTTTCAATAATGAACAGACAAATACCTGATTCATAACAAAGATTTATGGATGTTAACTAGTATTTTGGTCTACAAAAAAAAACAATTCCACTTAAATTTTGTTGGCACAATATATTGCAATTAGATTGAATGGCAATTAAAAGACAAATAATTTCATCATAAATATAACTAAAGTTCGTGATGAAATTAAAAATTCTTGGTTCAATAAAAAAATAGCCTTTCAGAAGATTGTTGATTTACGGTAATAAAGTCAACATTTTCAAAATAACAAAATAAACCCAAAGAAAAATAATTTTTTCATCTACATTAATTTACAAACTCATTTCTTTTTGACACCAACATATTTTGTTACTATTCAGTATAAGACTTATTATTTTCGTACTTCAAAGACAAACGAGTACCTACCTTAAGTGTGTACATGGTGCGGCTGCTGCACCGTTCTCCGCCGATTCCAAAACTGTATGTGTGCATTTTATGTCGGGAACTGGGGCAGTGTCGCAAGAGACCGGTCGACAAGGCCAGGGGACAGGAGACGACCTGACCATCGGACGTCCACGGGGCAGCGAGGAAGTGGAAGGGAATACTGCAGGGAGCGGGCTCTAGGGTCAAACATGTCGGTAGTTTGTCTCTGATAGAAGGAAAAAATTTATTTGTGGGATTTGAACCCGGGACCTCGGGGTGTTAAGTCCTGCGCTTTGCCACACGGGGATGGTGACACTAGGCTCATACGAGTGCTGATTGTCTCTGATTAAGGGTGAAATCCATTGTTGATTGGTAGGGTTTGATCCCGGGACCTCGGGGGTTGAGGTCCTGCGCTCTGACTTCGGACACGTCAACAATAGTAGGTTGAAGGGGACGAATCATTGGTGATTGCCAAGATTTGAACCCAGGACCTTGGGGGTTAAGTCCTGTACTTTGACACTCGGAGGAAGTGGCACCAGGGCAAAACGTGTTAATAATAGTAATCTACACAAGGAAATACAATCCATTGTTGAGCGGGATTTTAACCCGAGACCTCGTAGACCAAAGTCTTGCTCTCTACTAACTAGAAGGAGTGTATGGAATGGTTGTGTCTAGAATATTCCCTACTAACTGACTAAATTAAATTTCTTAAGTCATTTCAAGAAGAGAGGCATTGTGAGTTTATTCGTTGTTGCCATGGAGACCAATCAATATTTACTTCTAGAAAGCCCATGGGGAGGAGTACTAGCCTACTAGGTCAATTTTGAAGCGGAAATAGAAACTCATCAGTTTGATATTTCTTTATTTCTATAAGTGGTATTATTATTTCTATATGCACTTTCCTAAGACCACCAACTCTAACTAAAGGATTGCAATAAATCACACAAGTAAACAAATATTGAATATGCGTTATCTGTTTATAATTTTTATTTGTTTTTTCTATTTTTTTAGGTAACCTTTCAATCCTTGCCATAAGTTATATTTTTTATTTTTGCATTTCAATAAAGTAATCAATTTTAAATAAAACACGTAACAGATAGCAATTATATGAGCCAGAGAGATTTTCACTAAGCAATACCATTTAGTTTTGCCTATAATTTGGTGTATTTTGCTGGGTGTATAACTGGCTGTTTACAGTCGATTTGAAGAACCACAATATTATTTCGTGTATCTTCATATACATCATAGGCCTATATCCTCTTCGTAAACCACGGGAATACAACTAGTTTAATAAACTTTTACCTATCCCGCCATGTTAAACTTCCCTATCCCAATTTTCTTAACCTAGCTTTTGTTTGTAAATGAACGTTACTGTTAGAATATGAGTGAAATGGATAATGAAAAATATTGTTCGTAACCTCCTGTATATTGTCGGGTCAGGTAAAATCTTGTACGTTACACGTTACGCAAGAGCGTGTTTACATCACTTCGGTAAATTATGCAACTCGCTTCCGCTCGTTGCACAACATTCACCTGCGTGATGTAAAAACGCTCTTACTACACTTGTAAGGTAAATAGCAATTACACCACACTATGATGTTTTTGGCTCTATTACATACGTTAATTGGTGGCTGAAAGTTACGTTTTGCTGGCCATGCCAGCTGTCGCCAATTTGGGGACCGAGCAGGGTTTTACAGGCCGGGGCCGCAAAATCAGCTGTCCGCTTACTTACTTAGAACATGAATGCGTTTTAAATACACAATCAAAATCCATAGCATTGCAATATAGAATTGTGTTATTGTCACCGTTGCCTAGCAACTATTTATTTATATTTTTGTTGATTCCTCAAATTATTTCTTAACCTTAAAGTTATAGTTGTGTTGACGATCAGTGTGCATTATTATAGTGGTGAATAGTGGTAATAGGTATAGTGTGGTGAAAAATAGCGTTCGTACCACGGACCGAAATGGTTTTGCAGCTCTCGATCGATAAAAAAAAAAAAAAACTATCTCGAGCCGGCAAAACCTCATTTTCGGCCCTAGGTACGAAATATACTATTGTTCGTTATTCCATTACGTCTGCAATGATGCCTTCCTTCTTTGTGGTATTGAGGAGAATAGAGTAACATCTGGAGTGAACAAACCCCAACCTTTCGTTGACATTTAAATTCCCACCAAACGTTCTCTCACTCGTGCGGAACAAAACACGTTTCAGATTAAAACAAGAGATAAGAGAATCATAATGATTTGAACTGATAACAGTAGAATAGTAATTACATCCATTGCAAACTCGGAAGTGCTTAATGTGTTCTTCGATCTTAAATTTATTTTTAATGTGTTCTTAAATAACAGTTTTTGTTTCAAGGGAACACCATGATTAACCAAGGTAGATATTTTTAGATTTATTCAAATTTTGTATGCCAACAATAAAAGTGCAGCCAAGAATTTTGTCAATTTTGACACCTATTGTTGATAACCTAATAGCTTTACGTATTATCATAGTGTATCTGGTTATTCTAAGACAATTCTAAATCCTAAGTACTTACCTAGTATTTGTCTACTCGGTCTACAGTAGGTAAATATATATTTCAGTAGGGGCCTTCATTATCAAAATATTTCAGCTAATGTTCAAATTCTTTAGTGATAGCCACTTCAATACTGTATGTTCATTCCTATGTTCATCATTTAATTTTGATTAAAATGTCAAACAATTAAAATATCGGCCCTATTATTATTCTATCAGCCTTGGCCGTTTAAGTAGTCGTCTAACACATATAGGGATTTTTTATTAGGTGTTTAATGAGTATGGTCTAGTTGTCTGATTTATTTTTCATATTTGCAGAAGAAGACTCAGGTTTCGTTTCCGTAAAGTTTCTTCTTAAAGGTACGTATTTTAAGTCAGCATCTTTAGCAATACCAATACTTTAATCTTTTTCTGTATTAATGCAGTTTCGTCATTGCATCTATATGGAGTAGAATATGCGAATTCTTTAGATTGACATAAAACATTATTGAATGTGTCTCTCAATGAGTAAGCTGTCCAAATAACATTTTTTAAGTTTTTGACATCTTGGTAGTTATATGGAGCCAATTAAGTTGGTATAGCTTACAATAAGTTCTCTTGCAATTTTAATTATAAAAAAACAAGTAAAAGAACGAAAACCGTATTACACTTCCTTAGTAAGATAGTGTTACCTTTGCTAGATTTACCCCAAGACGTTCCAGTGACTGAGAATATCTTAAGGATGGTTTTGAAGCAAAAGAAGTACTCAACTTTGTGGGTCATGTTAAACTTCTTGGACTCCACAACAGCATTGGTTGCAGTCAGGGTGCCGAAGTAAGCATGCTGTTTTTATTACACATTAGGTAATCATATTTTGTTATATATAAAACGGGTATACCAATTTCTTACAATGGTTATAGAAAACTCTGAGCGTTTAAATAAAGCTTACAGGAATACCATATTAATTATGGAAGTATTTTGTTGTGTAAGGTATTTAATCGTGTTGTTTATCTGACGATTTTCAATCAGCCTTCGAAGAGGATATATTTTATACCTGTTTACATTTGCAATTATTTAATTCATCTCTCTAAAATAACTTAACTAACGTACTCCTTGTGTTGTTTCTATTTCAGGAAATCTAAAAATGCCGATTTCTTCACCACAATAAAAGGCCGCCCAATACAAGCCGTGAAATTATCTGAAGGTGTGTAAAATGTATGCAAAAAACAGGTACTTGGTTTAACAAAATACAATCAGTAATAAACGGTTACTCATAGTGCTGTGTTGAAATTACTTGTATAGTTTACTGATGAAAAAGAAATAGATTTTTTCACAATTTACGATTCTTGAAAATGTGTGTGACTTTGCGGCTTTTACAAATTCTTTACTGAATTTTATTCTTTCCTGCTTAATTTACAAGAAACAATAGAAACTGCTAAAGATTATTTATATTATAAAATCCTTCTCGGTTAACAACTAAATTTAATCATTACCTTAAAATATATCTAGTAGGCTTATCGTTCTATTAAGAAATTCGAAGACACTATTGACTATTGGATACAGAAGTTGTTGTATTAATAGTCAAAGAAGACACTTAACCCTTTTAGTAGCAAATAAAAAAACAGGTAAAGGATTTGTTTTTCTTTTTTAAATTTTTTTAAATTTATGGTGGTGTCAGAATTTTTTACCCCTTATGAGAATTAGCATACATCAAATGCTGTCACTGAGGGAGCGTAACGTTTTTTAGTTAATAATTAATTTATTTTATAATTTTGACTGATTGGTTTGTTATAATATTTTATCAAATAATTAATATTTATCAAATATTGGTTGTTATAAGACTGTGCACTTAAACATAAAATTGTAAAATAAATTAAACTAAAATAAGAAAAAAACATTGATTTTGTATAGTTTAATTTTATAGCAATATTCATTATATTTTGTATATTATTTTATTATCAGCATCTCCACTATAAAGAGAAATAAACTATTTGTCCAGCATGTATAGTTAAAGCATTAAGTTAATAAAACTACCGATACAAAGATGTCCTTATGAAAATGTATTTTCTTCTTTATATTTGTTAAATAGATTTGGATGTATAATCTACATTGAGTACGACTAATATTTATGATTCAATGCAGTTTAATCTACTAAATAAAACGACAATCGCAAACAATTTTAATTTAAACTCTATACCATAATTTCAGTTGAAGAAGTCGAGTACGAGTTGATGTTAAACTCCACAACGGCGGAGATGTTCAAATCGGCGGAAAATCTTAGAGCAACCGTTGAAAAAAATATGAGAGAAATGATGGAAGTGGAAAACAACGATTTGTTTGAAGGGAAACGAGGAGACATAAAGTACGACTTGCAGACAGCAACTGCTCAGCATCACCAGATATACGCATTTGGGTCGAGGACCGTGGGTTTGGGCTTCAGAACCAGTGACTACGACGTCTACATTGACATGGGTGAGTTACATTATACAACTACATTTAAATGTTGAGGTCGTATGCAAAATAACAATTTTATAGAGCTTTTATGATTTTTCTGTTTTATGGTGGTTTCATTGCCGTTGAGTTAATTTTTGGAAATTTGAATTTAATGCCAAAAATTGAAATGTGAAATGTCTTAGAGGGATAAAATAAAAACTACAATAAATAATTTCATTTGATTGTTTTTTCGTAAAATATTTATTTTGCACACTTTTTATTGTTTAAAAAAATATTTATACAAATATTTTTTTTGGTTTTATAGTAATAGGTTATGTTATATGCAGCTTCTTAAATTAAGTCAATTATATAAATAATAGTACTAATTTACAATATTTAGAATACACCTATTCCTATTGTAGATCTCTACTACAAAGAGATGCCTACCTCAAACATGTTCCAATAAGGAATTAGGAAGTAGCCTTTTTAATATTCACATTCATAAACTGTCTTGTCCCTTATTTACAATCAGCCTGTTATTCAACAACCAACTGAGAGTAATTAACCAGCTGACTAAAAAATCACATGTAAAATTATTATTAAAAAAGTTAATAAAGTTAAAACAAGTAAAAGCCGTACACAATAATTTAAATTCGAATCCGGTTGGTTTTAACAGAAAACTATTACAGAGGAGGAGGTGAAACCAACAGGGAAAACTCGGTTGAACGGATCCATCACCTTCTGAGGAAATCTAAGAAGTTCACAGACTTCATTCTGATACCCAGAGCTAGAGTTCCTGTGTTGAAAGTTAAACACAAGGAAACCCAAATACATTGTGACATCTCCGTCACCAACGGGCTGGGAGTGGAGAACTCTAAACTGTTGAGGTAAATAATGTTTTTAGTCTGCTTGTGGAAACACTGATTTTACCCTACATGTTGCTGAATAGCTAAGTGTTTTGTTGGTTATAGTCTGTATAATGGAACCTGTCTTCCCAACCGTCTGTCTACCTGGAACTGGCCTGGGTCTTAAACCATTGGCAAGTCCTCAGGTAAACCGAGAGTCAGGAGACAGGTTACATCATACAGACTATAGTGTGCTCGCCAGGCAATCCTAACGTCACTGGTTTTATCTTTGACATTGATAGAACTATACATTCAATTTCCAAAAAATTTTGTCAGTTTTAGAATCAAAACAGGCTTTAATTAAGATGCTGATGTACAAACTTTCCTAGTCAAACTTATATGTCAACCAGGGTTGCTTTTGTGCATGGTCCCAGGGGGGCAGGATGATTTAGGAGGTTTTGGGGAGTAAGGAAGGGCAAAATCTCCCCTTATGAAAAGGAGAGGGAGCGCAATTATCACTCTGGACTATTTCATGCAAACCGCATCCTTGAGGTATTACACTTTTTGAGTGGCACATTTAACTACGTGCTTTATTTTAATAAAACGTTCGGTACAGCTGGTCCATATAATGGGAGTCCACTTCAGTATCCAAAAGGTGGTAGCATCCACCTGAGATAAGTTTTTTCGCTCAGTAACTTTTTGGTACAAAACAGGGCACAGCTGTTCTTGATTGGGCTTTTGTTAAACGATCGTGGTTTAAAGGAAAACGCTCATATTCAGTAACAAAGCTATACAGATCACATGTCTCTATTCTACACCAAACGTGTATTCATTAGCTTAAAATACACTTGCTAAAAAAATTAGATTGCTGTCTAAAAAGTAATGATAACACAATTTGTAACCAATGATAGTGGTTTCAGCCTTGTATTCGATCAAAGCTAAACATCAAGAATTTTAATTAGTCTTGGAAGGTGCCTTTTATAAAAAGAGACATTTAGTCAAAATATTCTTTAACAAGTAATTACAATTCCTTTGCGTGTTTGCAAGAAAGTGCAAACCTTGGCTCTGCACTGCTCTACTGCCCACATCTGCCCAGGTGAATGGGCTACCTTGCTCTCCTTGTGTCCATTACATTGTCAGCTGATTCAACGGTCATCAGCTGATTTACAAAAAACTATTTTATTTGACGTTTACTTTCAAACTAATTATAATTTGTTGTCGTTAGAATATCTTTGGTTGTATAATGTTTGTGTTATAGGTAGGTTTACCTTATTCATTTATTGATATTTCAAAGATGATTGAGAATTTTTTATTATATTCTAGCGGTTAACTGTGGACATATACCATTGTGAGTGAAAATAAACAACGTCAGAAATATGACGCATACTTACTCATGTTAGCTCGTCAACAACCCTTATCATGGGAATAACTATAATATTTTATGGGGAATATCACATTATCAAAAGCTGCAATGACTTTCCAACCCTAATTTTTTCAGCAATATGTACATACCAAATTTCTTTAATACTTTAATACTTTCTTATTAAATGGCGACCATACAAAGGTAGGTATTTTAAGACAAGTATGAATGGAGATGAGTGTAGGATGAGTGGCGCGATATTGTAGTCTTGTTAGTGACTACGGCCGACATTCCTTAGACACAGCTCTTCAACATCAGACCACAGGTGTAGTCTGATATGCACATGCACACACACACCATAACCATTTTGACCCAAAACTGATATCCAACTAAAACTCAAACTTAAAAATCTTGATGAAAAAATACTTTCTTTATATACTACTAGCTGTAACCCGCGGGCTTTGCCCCGTTTAACTTCTTAATTTTCAAGATTATCTCGTTCGCATGGCTCAATCACGTCCTGGTTGAAGTTTGTTCGCTATGCTCACTCATCTTTAGGTTGGAGCTCGTTCGCTACGCTCACTCACCTTTTGGTTGCAAATTAGCTGTTGTCATAAATGTAAAAGAAATAATAGTGCTGCACCCTGTTGGTAATCCTTGTAACTTTAATGCTATTGAACATCATAGAACAGAACCAACGTGTTTAATTGAAACAGCTGTTAAGATTCAATAATTTCTCATAAGGTTAACATGGGAAAGTCCAGAGCCACTGGGGCGGAGCCCGAAAGGATTTTTGAAATAAGAATATGCCTATATGTTAATCGGGAATGTGAGCTATCATCATGCCAAATTTCAGCCCAATCCGACCAGTATTTTTCGCGTTCACTCGTCACAAACATACATCCATACATCCAATCTTTCTCATTTATAATATTAGTAGGATGTATAGAGGAAGAAAGTAAAGATAGGGATGAAAAATAAATATTAGAGTAGCAAATAATTGTCGAAAGAACTTTAATAATACAATATGTTAAATTACAATAAATTGTAACTATAAGTTGTACTATTCCAACTAACTTGATAGTTCTAAGAGTCCCAAGACAATTTATTACTTAATAGTTAATCAAAATAAAACTAAAAAAACTTGCCTTTTGTTCAGTGTCTTTCTTGGTGGCATGTTATTCTCAAGACAAACTTATCAGAGCAGAACGAAAATATAATGACACTGTGACACTGAGAAGCACATAAAGTTGAACCATAAAGTAGGTTTGCTGCTATGGGGAGTCGGCTTACAGTCATGTAGTGGTACAGTAAATAACTAGAAGTGAAATTCCTCTTACTCTCATGTAAGGCGGGTTTGTTTTAAAGGTTACACATTTTAAACTTGTTTTAAATTTAATTGCTTTTCTTTAAGGGATGGACGAGACTGTTCAAGAGGAGATTTTTTTCTCAGCTCATATCTATTATGTACAGGAACTACTTGGCTGATCGAAGAGTGAGGTTTGCCGCTACAGCTGTAAAAACATGGGCACTACAGATGGGTCTAACCCAGGCAGGTCAGGGAACCGGGTCCATCACGAGCTATTGCCTTGTTTGGTTACTACTGTATAGTCTCATGAGGGATGACCCGGCCGTCGTACTCCCTGTTTGCCAACTTAGACAGCTACATCGTGGACCTAAACTGTACATTGATGGTAGGATGTATAAAATTTACTATACAGTATAGCTACCTACAGGCTTACATCACATTTTTAAACCTTCAGGTCCATAATTATTTTCGTACTGATATAAAGAAAAAGCTTTACGGTCGTCCCATAAGCAAGTTTCCTCTATACCTTACTTCTCTGCGCAAATGAGTTAAGTCTCATTGTGCAACAAGAGCAAACAGGAGATAGCTACAGTACATAACATAAACATCCTCGTTACTTATTCACTTATGATCACTTCATAAAATATGCTCTTGAACCAAAACAACCTTATTACCAAATCTCTTATTCAACTGACTTTAAAATATGTAATTGTGGATATTTATAGGCATGCACTGTGGATGCGATACTCCCTGGTGTGGATTAACTTCCGCACGAGTGAGTACTACGACTACCCGCAGTGCTATCCTGATAATTAGACCAATTCGTATATACCAAGGCAAAAAAATGTGGATCAGATTCCACTATAAACTGTAGGTCCCTTAGTTGCCATTGCTGTATGGGCTATTAATTAACAGCTGTGTCTAACTTAGTCAATGGTCTAAGGAATGTCGGCCGTAGTCACTAACAAGACTACAAGATCGCGCCACTCATCCTACCCTCATCTCCATTTATACTTGGCTTAAAATACCTACTATGTATGGTCACCATATAATTCATATTTCATAAAAAAGTATTATGTAAAGTATGGTACTTAATTCCTTACACTAATCTTAGTCTTCGATGTTACAGGTTGGGACTGCAGTCACTGTGAACTGACCCATCCGAAAAGCAAAAACAACAAAAGTGAAATTGAACTGTTACATTTCTTCTTCAACTTTTACGGTAGCATGACAATCAAAGACGTAAGACAAAATGTACTCTGTCCCTACTTTGGATCGGAAATTCCAGTAAGGGACTTCGTCAAAACAGAATCCTTACCAAACGAATTCAACAACTACAAGAAGCAAGCAGCTAAACACAAGTTTTATCAAATGTACTGTGATTCGTTCATGTTCGTACAAGACCCTGTTGAACAGAACCACAATATAGCCAAGGCAGTGGAAGGTTGGGTGATAGATAGATTTTGTAGATTGTGCAAAACAACAGCTGAACTAATGGAGACTGGAATGACAAAGGAGCTAAAATACATTAGAGAAACCCGTAAATGATACGAAATATTGGAAAACACTCGAGAAGTGTATAATTGTGTTGTGTATGAATGACAATACTTATTTATTGTGGTTAACATGGTCCTTTCTTCCAGTTGTCTATGTTTGTTTATGAGCAGAACCCAGATTGTAAGTCCCTTAATATCTACTTTTGGATTTTTATTTTCAACAACTTTGGTATGAGAAAATTGTTCTAATCGATTAAACATTTAGCGTTGTTCTCACTGACCTCTGTTGCTTTGTTTCTTTCATTAAAGTGATTCATTGTACTTTCATTCTTACAACATTTTAACCGACAATCGTCCTATTTTGTGTTCACACTAGGGTCAGTGTTTTCTTATGTCGTTGGAAAGAACAAAAAACTATGCCAGCAAAAATCTCTTTGCATCACAATCAAACGGAAAGTAAATAAAAGAAACGTCTTATTAAACACTAAAAACTCAGTTTTTAAGTTCTCACTTTAAGACGCTTTTTTTTATTTACTTTTCCGTAAATTTAATAACACCTACAATGCTGATCAAGAAGTTATCACAATCAAAATGACTTGTTCTTTTGGAAATATGCACACTCTAACAGATTATATCCTTAATGCTGTCAATCCATTATGATGAGTAGTATAGCATCAGTATTCAATGACAACAAGACCAATAGTATCCACCTTCCCTATACACCACCTGAGTATAGGCAAGTCGAACTGCTTAATCCAAAATGACACTATGTATGGTGAGTTTTACTTACTTGCTTTACTGCCGTGGCTCCACAAATCTCAGTTGATTCTTTGCCTGGTGTACCAGCCTCCTCCACCAACCCCTGTCTTCTGCAAAGTTTTCATTTTGACCCATTGTCCTGATGTCGTTCAATACTTGGTCAGTCCATCTCAATTTCGGCAAAGCACATTTACTTCCAGGTGTGGCTCTCCAAACTTCATACAGTCTTGTTCCTTTCTCTCTTCTTAGCATATGCCCTATCCAACTTAATCTTCTTTCTTCAACTATTGCAACAATATCTTGGTCTGTGTATCTTAGCTCTCTATTTTTTCTTATCCTCCACATTTCTCCCTCCTGCACTGGTCCAAATATTGTTCTTAGGACTTTATTTTCAAACACAATGAGTCATTTTTCATTTTTCTTGGACAATACCCATGTTTCACTACCATATAACAGAATAGGTTGAATTAACAATAAGTTTTACTAAAGCCAATAGCTTTTACCAATAATTAACAAACCTAAAAACTAAGATCTGTGTATTGGATAAAGTTAAATCAAAACCTCTTAATAAAAAACAATCTCAATTTATTTTTCTTACAGTTATCCTTTATATAATAATAGCTATTTTCAACCATCTTGCCCTTTTTGAACCCAAAATAAATCCTTTCAATTTTGAAAAATAAATCTGCTTGGTGTTAAAAGTATTTTAGTTTTGCTACAATTTCTTTCCAATAAATTCAAAGGAATTATGGGGAGCGAGCTGGTCTAGTGGTAGAGCACGGGACTTCAGTCCCTGATGACCCGGGTTCAAATCCCAACAAATCACTAATGGATTTATCTAAATGATAATGCCACAACTCCTAGGTCTAGCTTGAAGTAATGTGAAAAACAATCCTGATGGGTTCTAGCGTCCTACGACAACAAAGAATACAAATAAAAATAGAATAATTTCATTAACTTCTGAGTCACTGAGTGGTTAATCCGGTGGTAGTTGTTTTCCATGGTTAAAATTACAGTGAGGATTTTAAGTCCGTTTCATGCAGGTCTGGTGAACAAACCATGAAGAGTTCTCCTGTCTGGCTGGCACATCTTGGAAGGAGAGGTCAACGTAAAATAAATCGTGGATGGTTCGGGTAGAAGTTGACAGAATGGGTGGGATTATTTTAGTGATTGTCACTTCATATCAAGAAATAGAAATTTTCTACACCTTACATAACATTCTACTGTATTTGTGTTTATCCACCAAAGCCTTTATAAGAGTACCAGCTGCTGTACCCTTTCTTCATATAGGGGAGAGGATGCGGAAGAGAACAAATTTGATTCAGTTATGTAAAAAATAATTTTACATGCACCATATTGGTTTTAGAAACTAAGTTCAACAGCACCATTTCAATTGATAAAATAGTAGGATTAGCCGAGTACTTTTAGTGAATAAAGACTGATAAAACACCGATAATTATGAACCTAATTCGTAATTCTGTTTATAGAGTCTAACCAAAAGATCTATTTAAAGAAGTTTTTTTTAATTTATTGGAGATTTTTTTTATTTATTTTACACTATCCTAAGATTGGTAAAAAAAGAGGAAACCTTTTTGTAAAAACAGTCAACTGTAAGGAGTTGAGAAAAAGTATGCTGATGTACTAAATTAAAAAAGAATGTTTGAAAACAGACCAATAACAGTTTTTATGTTGGATGAGGGTTCTATATATTAAATATATAGAGATATAGATTCTATATATGTCAAGCCGTGCACTAAAAACTACCTAAAACCAGCTCATGGAAACAATTTTCATCAATTTTTCAGTGCTATCCAACAACCTCGCCTTTTCAACCTTTTCACCTTTTCAAATGACTTATTGACATTCTTCTAACTCTAAATAAAAAAGTTATCTAATCGCTTACAAAGGTTTTCCTGAGACGATTACTACCTAAGTTCCAGATAAGAATAAATGCTGTAAACTAAAACTTAGCTTACCACACACTTAAAAATACTTTTATCAGAAGTTGTATCTTACCAAAGATGTTACCTATTCTTAAAATCAAAACAAAATTAATCACACCGTTAAAAGATCTTTATTTTTCTCGTCAAGCTTTCTTTCAGCCTCCACAATCATTCTTTCTAACAGCTTGTGCACTTGTTTGTTCATGAAATGTTTCGCGTCATCCTCTGAAATTTTCTTTTGCTTTTGTAAACCCTTTAAATCGTCACTGCACTTTTTACGAATGTTTCTTAACGCCACCTTGCAATCTTCTGTGTACTCTTTTGCTTGTTTACTCAGCGTTTTCCGAGTTTCTTCTGTTAGGTGTGGGAGACTTATGCGAATCAAATTTCCATCCACTTGAGGATTGAAATGGAAGTTGCATTCTCTCAGAGCTTTCACGATGGCGTCAACGTTTTGCTCGTCCCAAACCGTCAATGTCAATAATCTGGTTTCCGGAGCTGTGATTGTTGCCAATTCTTTGATTCCCATCTTCTTACCGTCGTAAACCTTGACACTAATTGGATCCAAAATATCCGGATGAGCTCTTCCTGTCCTGATGCTCTTTAAATTTGAATCAAAAACTTCCAAAGCACTTTTCATTTTCTTTTCGGCTTCTTCCAAAACAGCTTCACGTGGATCCTCCTCGGAGGCCATTCTTTTTTCTCTTATGGAGACACAACAAAACAGATTCTGATTGTAATCTTAAAAATATTATTCTTAATTGTGTTGCGTTAATGGCTCATTATGTTGGCGCTATCACCATTCTAAGACATTTCCGTTACTAAATTATTAAAAGAATTGTTAACTACCAGAAAATCACACATCATATTTAATGTGATAGTGAAATTTAGGTACTTATGTAGTTATATAACTTTGATTTCCGGTGCAAACTTTTAAATAAAAAATCGAACGTATTTCACTATAGTTTTTGGGGACATTGTTCAAAAATACGTAGTGACTTGGCAAACACTTGTCTGCAATATATATTAAGCTCACCAATTCAGTAATTTGAAGAACAGAGTCTTTTGTTTGAAAATGTCATAGCATATGAAATTGACGCCTTGGAAAATAAAAGGAATTCAATGTTAGATGTTATAGTCATGACATTAACCTCTCCTATGAGTCTTAACATTTACATCGAGGATACAACTTTTTAGAATGAGTTTAGGATCATAAAGAGTAGTTGGGATGTCTATTTCTACGTAGTGCAACACTGTATAGTTAATTTGCCTATAATTAAGTTATTACTGGTCGGAATTAGGGGGAGGGGGGCTTTCAAACTTATGGTAGGACATAATAAAATATAATGTCATTATCATTATCATTATGGGGACGCCACCTAGGTGTGTAACCCAAATATCAGCTAGTGAAGGATGAGTGTGGGAATGCCGTGAGATCATCTGTGTAGCTTGGTTACTGACTATAAGATATCAGCTGTTTCATCAGTCAGTATAATTTATTTTAAGCCTAAAATCAAAATGATCAGCAACGGCTGGGTCCAGTTTTGATTTTTGAACTATCAAAAACTTACTGTACGGTACTGACTTTTCTCAGGATCAAACCGACGACCTAATCATCTCCATTCCCTCTTGGCTTATCTAGGTGAAGGTGTCATGTGAATGGATTAGTTATAGAAGTAAGCCTACTTTAGCAGTTAGCCAAAGCATTACAAAAGTAAGTCAACGAGCAGTGGTGGTTCCAAAGAGGAGGCTACAGGGGCTAAAGAAGCCCTCCACCTTTGGACCCTCTTAAAGCTGAACAGCTCTTTAAATACCAAATCTTTTTACCTAGGACCCCCTCCTTTTTTGGGAGTGTTCCACACATTCCAAAAACCTCCCGATGGCACCCCCCCCACCTTGACAGGGTCCTAGAACTAGAGCGTTCACTGTTAGAGAAGCTATCACGCTAGCTGGCTATGGGATAACACTCTGGCTTTACCTAGTACCGGTACCAGACTTCCCATCTATATGGACCAGCTGCAGTCAATTTTTTATTAAAAAAGAATGTAGTTGTGTGAGCTAGTCACAGAATGCGCTAGTGTCTAAAATTCTATTTTATACCTTATTTTTTGTTGCTGACCAGGTTAATGGGTCATATCAGTTGCTATAACTCATCATAAGTCATTCCCTAAGTTTGAGTTGTCAAGTTTAAGTCACATCAACTACGACGATTTTGATCAAAAAAGCTGGCTACAAATGGGGATGGAATGTCTTCCTACATAGTACATGCTAGTACGCTGTTACCTGCTTTGTTACTATGTGCTATGGAATTGAGCTATAATAATACACTACATTTTCGGACAGGAAAATACAGGTTTAACTTTTTAGGTACTCTTACAGATTTTTGTTTAAGTATTCCCAGTTTCAAAGAACAATTTATAAATGTAAGTTTACCTTTTGGTAGCGTTGTCCAGGTTCATCGTTTTTGAATTTTCAACAAATAATAACACTGTGCTAATGGTGATGATAATGCAACATAAGTGTGCTGAATTGTATCAAGCTGAAAATTCAATAACATGCGTCAAGAACCTGGCAATGCAAACAAAGAGGTAAACTTACATACTTAGGCCCATATCATACGAGCGCTATTGCCGCCACGTCGTTGATGTCGTCATGTTGATTCCCCTCCAACCCGGCAATGGTTCTTATGGACCTAGTCATACGGACGCGGATGCCGTCGACGAATCCGCGTTAGCCGGACGCTGAGCACTGTTTAACGCGGACGGTCGCGTCAGCGACGCAGCGCGGCGCTAGTGACGGGGGGATTTGTCATGGAGCGCTAGCGTCAGCGGGATGCATTTGCCACCCGACTACAAAAAAAAACCTACTGGAAGACCTTTTTGGAGTGATCATCAAGTTTGATACACAACAAATGTATTTATACAATTAATTGAAACATTTCCTCCTCCTGTAAGAACTAAGGAGTTTCGTTAAGGGAATCAACTGACATTCTACAGTAACTGAAGGATATCCTCTTCATATTTTTATTCAATTGTTATGTCAAAATCATGAATCAAGATTCAAGAAGTGAAGGATGAGATTACGCTCTTCTTAATGACGCCGGCTTTGAATGAAACTGACTATAGACTTCTCATCCCATTGTAAATTTTGAAGCACGTTTTTCGTGTCTAGTTCATGTACGTGACACAAAGGCGCTAGTGTCGATGAAACTTTGTTTCCATTATTTTAGGGTTAATTTCTTGATTTGTGCTTTACTGTTTGGTTATATAACTAGGGTACAAGTTATTTTTTATGATTAGATCGTATTATTAGGTTAATCGAGGTTTTAAATGGCTGTAATAACGGGAAACAAATTGTAAACAAAACACGACCTCTACATAAACCGTACACGAACTAACAATAAAATTGTCTTCAGCTGGAACAGCTTTTTATATAAGGATGAGAAATCTACTAAGAGAGTATGTTTTATCTATGCTAAGATTAGCTAGTTTGTTAGTCAGGGCCATTTTTTTACAGCTAGGTTATAATTTACAAAAAGCTTCCGACTTTTTACAGGGTGGACTCCGAATTGAACACTGTCACTACTGACAGTCACGATGCAATTCGTGTACTGTGCAAAGCTACTAATGCTACTATCCTATATGAGAAATTACTTTTTAAAATGGAATAAATATATTAAATGCGTTTTTTGTGTATATTCACGGCCGCCAAAGGTGGCTGTGGTGTACTGCACATTTCTTACAGTATCATCATCCTCTTTTGTCCAAAGGTGTTCTCCGGAAATTCCAATATCCTCTATGTGAAATTGTAGTCGTAGTCTAACAGACGCATCCGTTACTAATAATAGTTACGTGATCTTTTGCCATATTATCGGTTATCTGATTGTTGCTGAAAATACGGTAAGTTAGGTACAATATTGTTAACTCCTAAAATTGGTTAAAATTATAATAATACTTAAACGTTTTAGTAACCTTCCCAACCATTGTGTTCTCAGCAAAATTGTTTGTGGTCTAAAATATGGTCTTGTTTTGTTCCAGATTTTTGGTGGGCCTGCCAGTGTCCCACCAGTTCCGATAAATTTTTACGTGATCTGCAACTCACATATTTTGTCCTGGTATTCTGCTACCGTCCCGAAGGGCGTTACCATTTTATATGAATTTTCTTAGCCACAAAGGTAAGAACTCAATGTCATTTCAAGGACTGTTATTTTAAGTAAGTTAGGTCTACTTAGTTGTGAGCTTAACCTATTTCTCTACTAATAGGGTACTGTAGGCAATAATGGTTGAAGACAGTGATATTGCATGTTACATCATTCATTGTCTACTCCATTTTAAGCTGCAATAAGTTAAATGTAGCCTACTGTTATTTTATATTCAAGCGATGGAAAGCAGGCTTGGTATTTAATTTAAAGGCTAAAGAAGTTTTCAAGGAATTTTTATGAGGCGGAACTTGGTCTTGGCCTACTTTGCTTAGAGGGTGGGTTAGATTTTCTAGACCGTGCTGACTAGGTTAGACCTGGGTAGACTTTCAGTAGAGGGGCCATAAACAACCGAATGACCTATCGATCCATTTGATACTCCCTAACTTAAATAGGCCCTACATCAATTTTGGTAAGTTAGGTTAACCTAACCTAACCAACCGAATGAGATAATCGATATACAGTATATCAAATAACTTAAGTTTAATTGATAACTTAAGTACGATATTTTCATACAGTGGTAACTTAATTCTGAGCAATTACTTGGTCAACCCCAAACTTTTCCATAGGCTATTTTAAGTTTACTACGGTCATAAGTATGTTCTCAGAAACATACGGATAATTCAAGGTTAGGTTAGGCTAGGTAATGTTACAACCTGACATAACGGTACTGTCACAACTGGCCTTCCGCGCGTCTCCCGCAAGCCACTGTTATCGTGTGGACTTTGAACCTTCTTATCGCTCGGCAACCTGTACAATGGCCTTGCGGGCCTTGGATTATATTATGTTTCTTGTTTTCTGAGAACATCCTTATGACCGTAACTTAGTAAAATATGAAAAAGTTTCGGGTTGGTTAACCAAGTAATTGCTCAGAATTACCCATACGGTTGTTTTTAGCCTCACTTATGAAAGTCTACCCCTGTCCCCTAGGCCTACTTTTAAGAAGACACTGCTCTTTCATAATTAACTTTTAAAAGTTACAGTAAGGCTATTTAATCCAACCACCATAAACAAATAACCTGTTAAGTTAATGGTGGTACTTAAATAACCTAAGTTAACTTAAAGTGAAGTTAAGTAGGCCTAGGCAGTTAACTTAAGTGGGTAACTTACTTAATCGGATGAAATATTAGTTCAACATTAACTTATGAATTAGGTATGTTACTTATTTAGTCTACTTTTAAGTTAACTTACCTACTGGTATCTATTTCAATTAACGTGACCATAAAAATAGGGCTAACTTAACCACCTTCAAAAAGATAATTTAAGCGCTCACAAATATTATGAAAACTAACTCACGTCAGTTAAAAGTTTTGTTTACTGTGTAGGGCCTAAATCTAAAGCTACGATTATACTAGGACGCTGGGGCGCTAGAAGGGCATTAAATCAAATGGGGGCGATTATACTAGGGATGCCAGCGTCGGATGCTAAAAAAGCCACCGGACGCTCGATTTTGTGCCTCCCAGCTGAAATTGAAGCGTCCGGTGAGGAGCGTCCTCTCAATGTTGGCGAGAATTGAGTTGAATGTGTCGCCACCTCTGGCTGCCACACTAGATACGGGTGGTGACAGGTGATGCATGCGCTCCGGTCAATGACCTCACGTTGGCCTACTTGGAAGGGATTGGGCGAGCGAAAGTATACTCTGGTATTGGTTGATTCATTATGAAGCGAGGAAAGCTCTACAAACATATTTTTTATATCACAACCTAACATAACCGCCCGAGCGTGCTGTGTCAGGGTGGCCTCCAGATAATAAGTACCACAGTATACTACCTAACAAAGTTACTAACTTAAACAAATGTTACAAAAGATCAAATAAAACACCACAGCTTACCACTGATTTTTGCAGATACTGTACCTAAGTTATCAGATTTTATTTAGGCATATGGGAGGGGCGGTTTATGGGGATTCGTGACTATTGCGTTTTTTTGAAGTTAGGTTAGACTAGGAAGGTTTAAAGTGTAGAGTTTATACCCCACTGGTGGGGTAAAATTTAACACACTAAGTGAAATAAAAATTTTTATTTTACAGAAATTGTTAAATTCATGTGAGTTATTTCTATTTGGAACTAATTCTTCATTTAATGTTATAGATTCATATTATTTGTAGCGCTAAATGTTGCAAAGTTAATAGCAACATTAAATATTTGTTCGCTGCACGTGCAGTTCTCACACTCATTTTTGGTTGAGGAAGCTTATAGTCTTAAATTACCGGTATTATTATTCATTACTGTCTTATATAGGAAACAGCAATAATCAGTTGGGGTACATTTGAACAACATGCTTACCAGAGGGAAACATGGTCTTCAAATAGCCTTCAAATGGCCCTCAGACTCCTGTTCAAATCTACCCCACTAGGCACCATTTTGCAAAAAGTTAAATTATGTTTTCTTGAATTGTAATTTATCAATGTAAAATGCATAATTGTATCTAAATATGTACAAGCCATAAGGTAAATGGATCAAGCTTATCTGTACCGGTAATGTAGTTTTTCTATGGAAAATTTACAAATCCCTACAGCTAAAAATTTTTCTTGTGGTGCTCTAAAACTTCTTTTCCCAACAACAAACTAAGAACTGATCAGAAATGGAGGGAGATGAATGCAACCTGTTGTCTTATTTGAGGGCTACATTTTACAGACTGGTCCACACTGGTTTACAGACAGTATAAAAATGTTGGCAAATTTAAACCATTCAAATGTGCCCCACTCTCCCCTACTTAATGAACTCTCAGTTGTAACTGTAGCAAAAATATTGGCCTAAAAAAAATTAGGCCTACCAGTTAGCCTAACTTAAATAAATTACAGGTTTGAACATTACTGGTAAGTTAAGTTCAAAGGTACATCTTCAATTTTTTTTAGCAAAATTTTTAAGCTATAGCCTGTAAAAACCTCTTGGGATGCACAAAATCGGTTGTGGGGCATTGGTTCAAATGTGGCAAATTATACTAGGTGGCTAGCATCCGAGACGCTCTCTTTCGACACACGCGCAAAGATAGGGAATACACTATTACCATAGGTCGCATGGTAAGACCTGGACCCGGGGCCGATTTACTTTTTCGATTTTATGTCCCCAGAGGCCAAAAACACCATCTGTTCGTATAGATTTAAATACGGTATAATATATATGGCCGCAAACACCATAACTTGAGTAATTTGTGGCTTAAAGGTGAGGGTAGGATAAACTTCGGGAACCAGGATGAACAACAGACCTTTTAAACGGGGTTTTATGGGGTAAAAACTAAAAAAGGGTTTTGTAATTTTTTACCGACAGTACCGGTACCTAAAACAAAAAAAATCCCAATTTCTCTCTAGACAATTAAAATGAGCTTTTAAAAACAAATAATTTAGTATAATAAAGTGTTTTTGTACGGTTATTAGTTAGGCTACGGTTAATTTCAAAAAAGTGTAAATTAAAAATTCCCATTTTATTCTTATAGAAAATATTGTTAACTTTTGGAATTTGCTTGTCTATGGATATATTTTGATGAAACTTGGCCAATTTGGTTTATACTAAGCTATTAATACTGTATTTTACTAAAAACACACTTTATTAGCCTCCCTGAAGCAGCAAACCTGGGTAGCCTACTCGTTAAACCTAATGATATTTAAATAGATATATAAACAAAAAGTGACAAAACATTGAAATAAAATGGTAGACCGAGAGGCTAGCATCCCAACACAAATCACGTCGTTTTTTGCTCGAAGTGGGACGCTAGCCTCTCGAACACCAGCGTCCTAGTATAATCGTAGCCTTACAATTAGGTGTGAAGCAAATTGAGGGTTCTGTTATTTTGAATCATCAGTTATCTCTGACTTTTGCATTTAAACTTGTTCTGCGGTCACTATGCTGGGTATTCATCTTTGCTCTTCATCGTGAACATTTATTCATCCATTTTTTATTCAGTGACGCATTCAATCTTCAGTGATGATAATGTCCTATACACTTCATAAATTTCAATCAGTCCATTTTTTTCCTTTAAAACATTATTAAGTTACTGTACACACTTACATAGTTTGCCAGATTTTAATTAAGGCAAACATTTCAAACAGCCATTGTAACTAGACTTTCTCACATAAGTCCGCACGGGTGAGTACTACGACTATCCGCAGTAGGCCTACTATCCTGATAATTAGACCAATTCGTAAATACCAAGGCAAAAATGTGGTTCGGATTCCACAATAAACTGTAGGTCCCTTAGTTGCCATTAGCTGTATGGGCTATTAATTAACAGCTGTGTCTAAGGAATGTCGGCCTTAGTCACTATCAAAACTACAAGATCGCGCCACTCATCCTACACTTACCTCCATTCATACTTGGCTTAAAATACCTAGGCTTACATTGTATGGTCCCCATTTCATTAGAACAGTATTAACTTGATTCTGATTGAGCAACTTAGGCCTAATGTCCAGACACCAAGATTCTGTTACGTCTTGCAGTGGCATGTGGCTACGTTTTATTTTTTTGGTGGGGGGGGGGGGGTAAAGAAAGGGCCAGTATGAAATGGGAGGGGTATCGACAAAAACATAATTTACTTTCTGAATAGCCCGTATTTACTAGTTTCCATAGTAGCTTTTCTACTAGCCTATAGTTTTAAAAACTAAAACCCCTTTTTATAGATTTCCGTCTTTGGCCAATTTATTCAGACATCGTTGAACTTATTGACGTATGGTTCAAGATTTGATTTTTTTGTGCAAACTAAAGAAAAAATCTAGTACACCAGGCTAGAAAAGTAAGTTTTCGATTTTAAAGGCTGTCATTTGGTGTATTTATTTTCACGCTCCAGTAGGCTACATATTTTGAATTTTATACTTGATTTTAAAATAGTAAATAGTATTTTAAAGGAAATAAAATAATAATCCTGCAAATCAATTTTGTTAGTATTGTTGCTTAAAAGTAATGACTAACTTCTTGCCTGTAGAGAGACTTTGTAGCTGTAGATAAAAGTATTTCTTAATCTTGCAGTAGATTTTTTCAGAGA